GCACCCTATATGTTTCAGTGGCTGAAGGAGATCATTCGTCGAGAAGTTTTGAAGGAACAGAAAAAAAAGATGAGGTGGCGGCCGCCGCCGTCGCCACCGGTGTACTCGATGCCGCCGCCGCCGCCACCGGCATACCCGCCGCCGCCGCCTGCACCGGCGTACCCGCCGCCTGCATCGGCGTACCCGCCGCCGCCGCCTGCATCGGCGTACCTGCCGCCGCCGCCTGCACCGGCGTATCCGCCGCCGCCGCCACCACCGGCATACCCGATGCCGCCGCCGCCGCCGCCGACGTACGCGACACCGGTGTACCCGACACCGGCGTACGCGACAGCGGTGTACCCGACACCGTACTCGCAGCCGACGTACTCGCAGCCGACGTACTCGCAGCCGACGTATTCGCAGCCGACGTACTCGCAGCCGACGTACCCGATGCCACCGTTCTACCATTTGCATTAGAAAACGTAAGTATTTGTATTTTTTCTGCTAACATCGGCGCGCCACCGACATACCCGTCACCGGTAGATTTTTATGACTTTTTTAAATTTTAGGTATAGATCTGAGGAAAGGCAACTACGCTGAGCGCGTCGGCGCCGGTGCGCCGGTCTATCTCGCCGCCGTCATGGAATATCTGGTGGCTGAAGTCCTCGAGTTGGCTGGAAACGCAGCCAGGGACAACAAAAAGACTAGGATAATCCCGCGCCACTTGCAGTTAGCATCCGTAACGACGAGGAACTGAACAAACTGCTGTCCGGAGTAGACCGGAGCTCTAGTCCGGAGTGACCATTGCTCAAGGCGGAGTCCTGCTCAACATTAAAGCGGTCTTGCTGCCAAAAAAGACCGGCACCAGCGGCTCCGGCAAGGGCGACAAGGCGTCGCGGGAATATTAGACTGTTGCGCGTTTATAATTTCTAATTTTAGTTTTAGTTTAGTAGTGTTAATAATATGAACCGTTTTGTAACCTTTTGTATACTTTCAATAGTCCTCGTTTATCGTGAAACGGGTTTTTTAATTATTTTTATTGTTTTTATTACACTGTCGTATATTGTGGTCTTCTTATTTGTACGAGTTCGAACATGCGGGTTTTTTTTGTAATTAATCGCCAATCACCCACAAGAGAGTTTTCCGTTGCGTTCGATTGGGGATCTTGGAGCTAGACGACTTTGATTCGCGCTCTCTTCCACGTCTGTCCTGGACACCGTTGAAAGTATAATTGCCGTCTTGGTTGTGAAAGTGTTACAGTATCGGACGGTAACTGTAAATTCCTGTCCCGACTCGAGGACCATGCTGTGACTATTCATTTAATTCCCGCATTTATAGCTTCGCGATGGTTTTATTTATGATGCATTTTTATATTATTTATTCGCTGTCGTTATGATGGCGTATGCGTTCTTTTCTTTTTGTGCACACTTCTCCGTTTCGGCGGTCATACTTTTCTTTTTGTCTTCAGCCTGTGACCTATTCTTGACTCGACCCCGTATCTTCTAAACAATGAAAATGTGAAGATGTATCGCGAAAGCGCACGAATGTTTTTGTTGATTGTAAACGATATTTTATGCGAAAAATAAATAACATTGTAATAGTAAAATTAATTTTCGAAAATTATTCTTTTATGGTTATATGGAGGTTGTCGTTATTTTTTAAAATAGAACTCCCTGTTTATTACACTATCTTATTCTATTATATGAACAACTTTTGTCTGAAACACTTTTTGATTTGCCTAATGCTTTTTAAGAGATATTCAAGAAAACATTTATAACTTTTTCAATGTTTAGTTTATAATATCTCGATAACTGTTAGTCGGAGGAAAAATAGTACAGGACATTTTTACTTGATTTGGTCTCAGGAATATGCTGTTGCAATAGTGTTCAATTATTGAAAATTTTTGTGTATGTAAATTTTGTGTTACCATACACCAAAATAGTCAATAATTGAAACACCATTGTAACAGTATATTCCTGAGACTAAATCAAGTGAAAAGAGACTAAATCGAGTACACAGACAGAAAAAAATAGTTGCAGTTACCACAATCTCACTATAATTC